GAGATGAAATGAGTGCCTATTTCGGTGTTATCATAAATTAGAAACCAAGTGAATTGTAAATAAAATGTGTGTTTTTTTTTTTAAATGAAATGAAACTACAGTGTCCTAGTCTTCTTTTCCCTGTGTACATGTCAACCTACCTGGCTCACACTGAATTGGTAAAAAGTTTTGGGTAATGGGAGTACAAATATGCAAATTAGTAATGGGCCCTGCAACATTGTTGCAACAAAGTATCTATGGTGTGCAAAGGGTTAACAAGAAGTCGAAAATATCACTTTTTACCAAAAATGACAAAAATATTCACCAAAATTAGAGAATTGAAGTTATCATCACGAAATGAACAAATCTGAGAAAGGTCCACATGTTGCATCTATAAATGCAATATCAAAGTAATTGGACTTGTGGTTTTTATCAAGAAGTCGAAAATATCACTTTTTACTAAAAATTACAAAAATATTCACCAAAATTAGAGAATTGAAGATATCATCATGAAATGAACAAATCTAAGAGAGGTCTACCCCAGGTACATACACACCAAGTATCAAAGCATTCAGGCTTGTAGTTTTCAAGAAGAAGTCTAAAAAGTAAAACATTGACACGGATGACGACGACTGATGCCGACGGACAATCACTTATATGATAAGCTCCGCTCGACAAAGTCGACAGCGGAGCTAAAAATTAACTGCAAGCATTTCAACACAAATAAGAATCATATTAGAATTTAAAAGAAACTACATTTGAATGTCGTCAACATTACAAAGCATCCATGGTATTGTGCCAGCTGTCTGAATTTTATTCACAAAAAAGACCTTTGTCACATGTAGACTTGGGGTCATGAGGGCACAACAACAACAGCAACATCAGCCTAAGTTTGGCTTTTTGACAAGGCTACCAGCCTAGACATAAATACAACTACAATCCAAGTTTCACGTTTTTCATCAAGGTATTCCAACACTGTATGGTATTGGAATTAAATAGTGAAATAACTAGGAATTCTGACAATCAAGTATGTCACCATGTTCTGACATACTTCATTACTTATGATGATGTTATTTCATTATTATTATTTATTATTATAAGTTGCTAGTTTTATATTCTGATCAGCACCATGCATTGTGATCAGTTGATAAAATAAGCCCAATGAATATAAATGAGAATAGTTTAACTGTAACAAGTTATAGATCTCAACCATTATTTATACTTGAAAGATTACATGACACATACATCAAACAAATATATGACATGACTTTATGCAAACCTTCACCTAATTCGTTACATGAAGGTGTGCTGTGCATATATTAACCAGTTAGAGATGCTGTTTCATATTACCTGATCTGCCAACATTAAAACTGTTTTCATTGTGAATCGTCTGGAGCAGAAATTAAAGAGGTCTTCTAAGCTTGGACCTAGGAGGTCCATTACTAGAACATTGTAATCTTTCTCTTGACCGTACCACCTAAGAGAATGAAAAAAAAAAAACTGTCAGTAATTTGTGAATATACAGCATTTCCTCAATGAGTTCTGCCGCCAGTGGATAATAAACATTCAGCTATTTTAAACTTTGAAAAGTATTAATAAATTATATGCGTGTACAGGTATATAAAACATTAAAAGATCTTCTTTCCAAATGCAGCATTTGGAAATGTAATATGGTGTATCAACTTCTACAAAGCTTGTCTGTATGTATGAACTACAATACTTAAATAAAGGGCAGTGGTCAGCAGACTTGTAGTGTTAAATATGGGGCTGATAAAATATACAGCGCATGCAATAACACATTGTTTATTTACATGAAATTTGAACACAGGCTGTGCGACTACCACTGCCCTTTAAAAGCACCAGTCACACCAACTGTATGTTTGATATGAGTGCCATGTGATGTACATTACAATGAAATGTGTACAAAGTATAATTTTTGATAAACACTTTTTTGATGCTAAACATGCATAGTAGAGTTGACATGATGCACTTCATGTCTTATGTGCCTTCTATTGTGAAAATCAAGAGAATTATGACAAATTACATCACTTGCGCAGAGAAGACATGATTGAAGATCAAGACAGCCCCTTTATGATAGAGATAACACGATCAAGCTAAGAAAATGTGTTGATAATTCTTGACAACTAAAAATAGCACTTGCAATAATTGATTATCTATATTATATAGCCCAAATAATAAAAGTCTGGTTTAAATATTTTTATTAATTTAATTTGTTTATGATAATTTTATCATATAATTATGATAACACAAAACAAGCCATGATCTAATGTTTATTTTTATTCCCCTGTCCATCAAAAATCATGCCATTTATAGACAAATGCATGTAATACTGCATTATAAAAGGGGGAAAACATATTTAATAACAAAAAATTCCACAATATTTGTAACAAGTATACTCCCATCAGTGTAGTTTTTTTATATATTTTTTTATAATCATGGAAATAAAGAAAACTGTTCTTTTAAACAATACTCACTACATAAAAGTACATATACATCAGTAGTGATGGGTAAACAAAGATTAGTAAAAAAAAATTTACACAGGTATTGTTTCAGGGGCCACACCTATAAAAATACATCGAGTTGAAAGGGGAGAATATGACCTATTATACTACAGTAGTATGCTATAAAACATAACAAATTTAATGACTAATTATAGTGACAAAACCTATAGAAAATAGTTGCATCAAATTTAAGATATACCATATTTATTTATATTTATAAGAGAATGAAGAATCACTGATCCAGGGCTCTTTTAAATGTCATTCATACAAACTGATGAAAACATCAAATTAATATTATTTCTCTCAGTACTTTCTTTTTAATTATAAATCACATTTGTATGATTAATCCTTCAGTACCAATCCAAAGACCTGAGAAAAATTTGCACAATACATAGATTATAATAAGATATTTTCTATTTCCATTTCCAGTTTAGAAACTAGATCTC